TCTCACAATATCTACCCTCTCCTAAGGACCCATTACCGCCCCTATCTTCCTGTGGTGTCTATTCTATTCCTTGTTCATGTGGACATGTGTATATTGGCGAAACTGGTCGTTCCGTCAAAACTCGGATTCAAGAGCATCAAAGATGTATTCGATCAGGTCTTTTCTCCCATTCTGCAGTTGCAGAACATTGCCAAGAAACCGGTCATTCCATATTGTTCGAAAAAACCCATATTATTTCTAAAAGCCCCTTCTTTTATTCCAGGAAAATCCGCGAATCTCTAGAGATCCGAAAAAATCCCCATAATATCAATCGAGAGGAAGGATACTACTTGTCTCCCATCTGGAATCTCAGTCTAGAACCGCCGTCCGGTCCCGCCACCACGATGCAGCCACATGATTGGCCAGCGCGCGCTTCTTGACGTTCGCGCCACGAAGTGTGCCGATACGCCCCGACACGACAGGCACCGCGACTATAAATAGAGCGGTAGCGGAGTAATCGTCGGATTCACTCCCCGCCTCTCGACGCGTTAGTGTTCTGAGCTGTTGGACGTGAAACCCTGTCCTGGCATTTGGTTTTCACCTCTGGCTGCGTTGAGTAGTTGAGTTACAGTGACCAAATGCCCATCTTGGTAGTTAGTATTCGCCTCTGGTTGCGTTGAGTAACTGAGTTACCGTTGCTAACTACCCATCTTCCTGTTCTTTTGTTTTCTTCTTTCTTTCTTTTTCCTTTTTTTGTTCTCCTGAAGAAGCTACATACAATTGTAGCGAAACGTCGAGATGAACCCACTTTTGGGTCACTCACAAATGACACGGTCCAAACCCGGAAGACGAATAAACTATCAGAGCTTACTTAAACCGACATACTTATGGTTCCAATATACAGTGAAAAAGATCTGAACGACCCCTATAATATATACACGTGAACTAAGCGAAATACATTTATGATACAGGGGCACTTATGAGCTCCAAAATTTTTTTAAGAATCATGAAACTATACATCTTAACGAATCGACAGAGCCAATATTATGGAATGGACAGGTGGGCTCCGTATATCGGTGTCCACTTGACCACGGAGCTCATTTGAACCTGAATTTTAACATGGGCGGAGTTCACTTTATGCCGTAAATATATATATATATATATATATATATATATATATATATATATATATATATATATATATATATAATTATTAAAATAATAATCAACAATATAGACAATCATATAATAATAATAGATAATATGCAAAATTTTAACAACAATAATAATAATCAAAATAGACAAAATTTAAATAACAGTACTAATTATTACAATAGACAAAATGTTAATAACAATACTAATTATAATAGAGAAGATTTTAACAATAGGAGAAATACAGAACGACCTAATTACAATAGGCAGGTAAATCATATACGAAGGAACAGAAGCTGTGAAGACAGAGAACGAAATAGTACAAGGCAGGAAAATATGAGTAGAAATCATAGTAGTGAAAGACACAGGACATTAGAACCAAGCGGTCAGACACAATTAGAGAATAATTCTAACAATCCAAATTTTATGCAGTGAACTTTTTGAATTACAAGTGTGGTCATTGTCATTATGAGAAACCTTCTGAATTTATTGCTTTAGATGAAGATAAAATTATTGAATCTATTAATTTAATTTATATAAATGCTATGGCCAAAAATAAAATGATTAAGCTTATGATAGATACTGGTTCAGAAAGTACTTTAGTCTCGGAAAATTTTATTTTTAATACATTAAGACTATCAGATATAATGAAGATTCCAAAAATTAAAATAGTTGGTGCAAATAATAAGAAGTTGGGTGAAATTGATAAACTAGCCAATTTTAAAATTAATATTCTTAATAAAGAAATTAATATGCAAGGATTTATTGTCAAGGATTTATGTGTTGATATATTAATGGAAAATGATGAATTGGAAAAGAAGAAAGTGAAGATAGATTTTGAAGAAAAAATTGTAACTTTGGAAGGGCAAATAATTAAGTTTATGCAGAAAGATGAGAAGGAAGAAGAAATAAGAATTGATAGGATATTATTAAAAGAAAGTAATGATGTTTATGAAGAAGAAATGTATTTTGATACTAGGGAGATGTCCCAAAAGAATGTAAAGAATAATTGTAATAAATATTTAAGGAATGGAAAAAAGCAGAAGGATGCCTACGAGGCGGAGTGCGTAAAACTGGAAGCAAGGAATTTTGATTACATAATGAAAAATAATTTTATTTATAAAGAAGAGGATATAATTAGGGTTTTAAGTTGCCCTGAAGAATATAAATCAATAGTCATTTCCATATTGCAGCAACACAAGGGACTTGTTAATAAAGAAAATAGAATTGCACACAATTATATTCATAGTATAAAAGTAAAAGAAGAAAAAGATTTTAAAACAAAATCGTACCCAATACCATATAAATACAGAGAAGAAGTAAATAGAACAATTAATAATATGTTAGAAGATGGAATCATTGAGAAGGCAGGTACGCTTTCATTAACCCTATAGTGGTAGTAAGAAAAAGATCAGGTGAAATCAGGCTATGTTTGGATGCAAGGAATATTAACAAGATCACTGAAAAGCAATTTGAAGCACCAATGAGTATAGATGGAATACTAGGAAGAATTACAGGAATGTCATTTTTTACTAAAATTGATTTACAGCATAGTTTTTGGTTAATACCTCTAGAAAGGAAAAGTAGACAATATACAGGATTTCAGATAGATGGAGTAGTATATCAGTTCAAAGTAGTACCATTTGGACTTCAATCATCGCGCAGTGCTCTATGTAGATGTCTTTATGATATTTTGGATCAATATGAACAATTTGTAATTCATTACATTGATGATATATTAATTTTTTCTAAAAATGCTGAAGAGCACGCGAAACACATAAAAATAATAATGAACATATTAGACAAAGTTAAACTAAAAATAAATCAAGAAAAATGTACATTTTTTCAAAAAGAAGTAATATATGTAGGTTATAAACTAAATACTAAGGGAATTGAAATGGATCCAGAACGGACACAGGATATTCAGGAATATAGAACACCACACAATTTAAGAACTTTAAGAGGATTTATTGGAATAATTAATTATTATAAAAGGATGATACCAGATCTAAGTATAAAAGAAATTCCATTACTTGAACTGTTGAGGAAAGGTGTAAAATTGAAATGGGATCAGCGAAGAGAACTAGCATTCCAAGAAATCAAAAACATTTTTCTGTAAAATTTAAAAATATACCATCCTGACTATACAAAGCCATTCATATTAAGAACAGATGACTCAATAGAAAGATTATCAGGGGTATTACTACAAATACATGATGGGGTCGAATACCCGATACAATTCATATCAAGAATTACAAAGCCACATGAAAAAGGTTATTCAGTGTCAGAACTAGAACTAGCTAGTATCATACACTGTGTCACAAAACTAAGATTTTATTTGTTGGGTAATGAATTTACTATAGAAACAGATCACCAAGCTTTAACATCTATATTAAATAACAAATATGGAAATAGTCGAGTACATCGTTGGAGCCTAATACTGAGTGAATACAGTTTTGAAATCAAATACATTTCTGGAAAATCCAACATAGTGACAGATGCTTTGTCAAGGTTAGAAAATACATCACAAAACAGGCAGCGAACAATAAAATTGGATTAAATCAGTTGGTAGAAAACACTGGATTATATTCTAAAGAAGAAATCATAAGAGATCAAATCAATTTGGATGAAAAACAAAAAGTCCTTAAGAAAAATGGGGTGTTTTATAAAATAATTAATGGCTTAGAAGTGTATGTAATAAGTAGAATTTTGACAAGAAAGATATTGAAAGATTTACATAAAAGTTACATGCATATTGGTTCAAGAAAACTTTGGATGTTATTCAGAGATAATTATTTTGCAAAGAATGACATAAGTATAGCAAAATAAATTACTACACAATGCCAAATATGTCAAATAAACAAAGAAAAGAATTTCAAAAACCAGAACACATATAAATCCAATGTTGCTTATGAAAAACTAAATACAGTTGCCATGGATTTCATCTCAAATTTAGTTCCCAGTGCAACAGGAAACAAGCATATATTAGTGATAGTTGATTTATATACAAAATTTATTAAACTATATCCATGCTCAAGAACAAATGTTAAAACATTGAAATTATATATTAATCAGTTTTTCGAAGAAATAGGACCATTTAGAAATTGCATAATAGATTACGCTACATATTTTAACAATAAAAAATTTCAGACATTTTGTGAGAAAAAGGGGATCAACATTCATTTTACAAGTGTTAGACATCCTCAAGCAAATCCTGCAGAAAGATATATAAAGGAAGTTATAAAATATTTAAGGATACTATGCCAAGGTGAACAGGTCACATGGCAGGATTATATCGAAGAAGTGGAATATTTTTTAAATAATACACATAATTTAAACACAGAGGAAGTACCTGAATATTTAATGTTTGGTCAAATAGGAAATAGAAAGTGGATTTCTGAGTGTACACAAGATATGTTAGAACAAGTCATGCAAAAGGTGAACAGAAAAATTCAAAGAAAGGCTGAAAAATATATCAGAAGACAAAATCGAACAATTAAAAAACCAATCACATTTCAAAAAGGAGACAAAGTTTTAATTCGTTCACTTAGACAAGGGAATGTGAGAGAAAACCGTTGTAAGAATTTACAACCAATGTTTGAAGGTCCATACATAGTTCAAAACCAGAATGGACTGAACAGCTATGTATTGATAGATACACAGAATAAACTAAGAGGAATTTTTCATATTAATGACATTTTTAAATTTCATGAAGAGATTGAATAATGTTTTATATACTTTTAACACTGTTAACATCACAAACAGTTCACTAAACACTTAACTGTATTCCATTAGACAATTTTGTTTGTTGACAGAACAAATGGTAAATCTAATCATTGTGGGATAATGTATCAATTATTAATGTGACATCATGTTTTGAGCAGCTGTTGAATTTGTCTTTTGTTTGGGTCCTAAAAACCATAATTTTAATTGGAATTAAGTATAAAATCACTATCATATAATTTACAATAATTAATAATATAATTTGAATTGGGGTTATATATCTCCAAAAGATTAATTTTGTAAATATTTTTATACTGACAAATGAAAAGTAAAACTTACCATTTATAATAAAGAAAGTCTTTTGAACCAAAAGAAAGAATTATTTCCTAAATCTAGTCTATTAATAAACAAACATTGTGTAGAAATTTATTAGTTAAATAAACATATGATTTGACATTTGTCATTTGACATGACAATTTGACATTTGACATGAAATATAGATTACATAGCCGTAGTTAAAGGAAATTTTAGATAAAAAATTAAATTATTGAATTATAATAATTAATATATTTACAAATGTGTATGAATAGGAAAATTAATTTTAAAAAAATAATAAACGAATTATTTATTTTAAAGTTAATTTTGGGGTATTGTAGTGAGAGCAGAAATGCAATAAATTAACATAAAAATATATATAATCAGATATACAATGTTAATTATTAAATTTATTCAAATAGTAATTAAAGACATAATTTATAAGTTATATACTAGATAATATTATTAAAAAATAATTATATGAGGATATTTTTAAGAATTTAGCATAAGAAGTAAGTTTAAGAAGTTTTTTTTATTTTATTTTATTTAATATTAGAAATGTTTAGTTCAGCCAAGTGCATATGCAACCAAACATACACTGTGTTCTTTGACGTTTAGATGGAAAAGTGGGGTTATTTATTTTTGTAATATTAATTTAGAATATAATAATTGTGGATGTAGAATAGTAAAAATATATTTCATATGAATGTTTAAGTTACATATAATAGTGTAGTTCTGATCTGGAGAGCCTAAAGTCGAGTAAATTGTAAATGGAAAGTTCTGGAAATATCAATGGGACTTTATGCAGAGTACATAACAGGCAACAAGCGATTCCAGAATTTTTAGATAGAACAAATAGAATGATTCGAACATTATTTGTTGCTAGATTACTCTGGAAACAATGAAAAACATATAAAAAGCCATGTAATTTGAAGGGAAGTCAGTTAGAGGAGTTCAGTGAGAGTTCAGTTCAGTTCAGTTATCAGTAGTCAGTTAGTTACAGATTATGATTAGTTACAGTAAAGTGATTCAGTAAAGTTATAATTCAAGAATTTAGTTACAAGAAGATTATTAAGTTAATTATTATTATTATTAAGTCAGTTACATGTGATTATTAATTACAAAGAAGAATTAAGAATGATTTATGAGGTTATGAAGAGATTATTAGCTAGAAGAAGGCATTGATTAAGTTAAATGAATTATTAAATGAAATACAGTTGGAGATTAATTATTACTACAGTAATATAGTGACAGTTTGAAGTTAATTCATTGAAGTAAGCTTTTAATAATACAACCACAAGATCCAGTATATTGGAAAGTACATTATATGGAAATTACAAGGATTTAAATTTATATATTTATATGGTGAGTGGAGATAATTAAGAAGGAACATATTAAAATAGTTGGATAACCAAGGCTTAGGAAGAAGATATCGAGTGGTGATAATAACTTTAATTTTGGAAAAAACTTTAGGCGTTCAGTGAAAGAAGGTACAGTTGCGGTCACGGAATAGTTTACACCTTACTTTTTATATTGTAATACTGTAAAATTGCAGTGTCGTACGGATTTGATAAATGTCAAAGTCAAAAAATTTCAAAACGTCAATGCTTTCGCGAGTGTTCAACAATAAAATAAAAGTATATTAAACTCTTCCAAAATGGTTAGAATACATTTGAATTATGCGCAAAAAGCAAAAGCAATTGCCAAACTCGAAGAAGGTTGGTCACTAAGGCAAGTTGCTGCTGATTTGAACGTGAGTCATATGTGCATATGGAAGATTAAACAAAGATGGGATAATTTTCACTCTATAGCACGGTTGGGCGGTTCAGGAGGGCAGAAGATTTCCACAGATCAACAGGATGAGATGTTAGTAGATTATTTGAGAGAATCTCCTTTTGCCACAGCTCAAAAGGCAAGAGAAGAGGCAGCGTTTCCAGGCAGTATTCGCACTGCACGTCGAAGAATTAAAGCAAGTGGACTGCTAAATTGTGTAGGTGCACGGAAACCTTTTTTGACTAAGGATCACAAGAGGAGACGAGTTGAATTTTGTAATGAATTTATAAACCGCGATGAGAATTTTTGGTCTAGGGTTGTATTTCCCGATGAAAAAGTATTTCAGTCGTATAATAATGGTCGAATAAGAGTTTATAGGCCGAGAAATCATAGGTATGATGAACAGTATACGCATCATTTAAGAAATAGTGGAGGATTCTCTGTCAACGTATGGGGATGGATAAGTGCCGAAGGCCCGGGCGTTTGTTATCATGTAGAGGAGAAGTTAACAGGATTATATTACAAACATATTATTGAGCACACAATGTTGCCATCGGTGATCCAGAGATTCCCCAACAACGACTTTATCTTCCAACATGACAATTGCCCGGTGCATACGAGTAGAATTGTTCGAGAATGGCTAAAAGAAACTGATGTTAATGTTCTTCCGTGGCCTTCCCGTAGTGCAGACTTTAACCCCGTCGAAAATGTGTGGGCAGAGTTAACAAAAAAACTAAATGAAAGAAACCTTAGACCACGGAATAGAATTGAATTATGGGAAGCAATTGAGCAGGCATGGGAAGAGCTTGTTAACTATAACATGAGGGGATTGGTGCTATCTATGAACAGAAGACTGCAAAATTGTATTGACAAGAATGGGGCTTCCACCAAATATTAATTATTATTTATCATTGTTTATCGTTATTTAATATAAAATAGATTTAAAATAAAATGCATATTAAAAAAAAAGACTTCTTTATTTTCGTTATTAAGATCATAATCCATTTTATTCAAAAAACTGTTTTCTATATTTTTCATTTTGTAAAATATTTTGATATTTTAATTTTAATCTACCTATTCTAGCTAGTACACCACTGGCAACGTCACTTTGACGTAAAAGGTGCGTTTAAACGAAGTAAAAATTTAAAAAATGGGCTCCTAGATACGTGAACCTGTAAACTATTCCGTGACCGCAACTGTACCAAATTTTGTTAATAATTTAATAATTGTAAGAATTTCAAATTTTAGATAGATTGTTTTAAATTGATATTGCTTATATTAGATAGATAGGTTTGTTTCATAATAGTTATAATAAAAATAATTTAAAAAAGTACTTACAAACTAACTCTTTGAGAACCGCGATAAAAACCCTATACTTACAAATATCATTCAAATTTACTCACAGCTCATACAACAACAATAAATCATAACAATATATATATATATATATATATATATATATATATATATATATATATATATATATATATATATATATATATGGTTATGGTAACCTGAACTGGTTATACAGGAAAGTAGATGACAGCTTGGAATTTGGTTACAATTATTTCATTTAATTAATTTCAATGATAATTTTTTACACAATATAGATAATCCATTTACGAAGCGATTTGATTTTCCGACACCATTTTATTAATGTAGACCTTGAAATACGAACAAGACAAATATAACAATAGATGTTTCATCTAGTAAACTAGTAATCAATTATTAGAATCCAAAAAGTAGATAAATCATAAAAACATTAAAAACTAGTTTATCCCGAATGTTAAGTAATATACCTCATATTCTGGCAGTGGTATGTATAACCTTTTAACGAATCTTCGACGAGCTGCCTCATCTAATTCCTGAGGCCTGTTTGTTGCCCCAATAACAAGAATCCTCTCTTCATTATCTGTTGTAGCTCCGTCTAATTGGACGAGAAATTCCGTTTTGATTCTACGAGAACTTTCATGTTCTGTGTCAGATCTTTGGGATAGAAGAGAGTCTACTTCGTCAATAAATATCACCTGAAATCAAAAATACAGAATAAAAAATATCACATCACTTCTAATAAAAATTTAAGTAATTACATTTCTAAACAAACAGATTGTGTATTTATTGTACAAACATTTAACTATCAAGAAAGTGTAATAATCCAAAATTTTTCAAGGGGCATCGAAGTATGTGCAGTGTTTATTCCAGATATAAATATTTCTTTCGTTTCAGTATACAAACCTTCAGACATAGCAGCAACAAAAATAGACTGGTTAAAATTATTGGAACAGTTTTAAATTTCTCTAACAATTTTTTGTGGCGATTTCAATGTACACCCTAACAGATGAAGCCCTGGGCTTCGTTCGGGAAAGGTTTTAACAGAGGCTTTAGCTTTTTTGGAACTAATTACTTTAAACAATAGATCTTTAATTGTTTACAAGGACATATTACAAATTATCTGTATTATCAAAATATTGCAACAAAGGCTAAACTCATTTTCAATTTAAATCAAAACAATCGTTGGACAACTTTTCTTAATCAACATCTACATCCGTTTCAAACATTTGAAATTGTGTAAAAGCTTTCAGGGGTGTAGAGTTGTGTTATAGAGGTAGCACCTTTTATCGGGACGACCACATCGAGCGTCATAGACGGGAGATGGTTCTTGATAACTGGTCCTCATAAGACAGCTAACTCTCACTTATGGCTCCACGTGCCACACCCCGGGCAACTGCATTGGTCTGCAGGCTAAACTAAGTGAGGGTAGCCAGATATGGTGAAAATTCCACCGAGCGATTGCCGGTATAAGCAATCCCACACTTACTGACCAACGGCTTCGGGCGGATGAGTCAGTAAGTGAAAGGGCACTCTTTTGTCCTATTGCTAAGAAATTGGCACCAAAGGCGAATGAATCAAGTAAATGGTCAACGGCATAAGGATGCAGAAGGCAAGAAGAAACCACTGTATTAAAGATACAATTGGATATTTCTAGTACAATTATCATGGCAATGAGTACTAAAGGAAAAAAAGAAACTGATCATGGGAATCGGAGCCCAAGATCCGACAGGAGAGGAACAGACAAGGACCTCCAAGTCGTTAACCGGCGAAACCCTGTCAAACTTCGAAACAAGACAAACTAAAATTATCAAAAACAAAAATAGGTACGTGGAACGTCAAAAGCATGTATCAACCTGGTAAAATGCATAACATCCTTCAGAAAATGGGAAGACTGAATATAAATATATTAGGAATAAGCGAAACATGGTGGCCTAACTCAGGATATCTTTCAACAAAAACCGGTACCTTATATTATTCGGGAAACACTGATAACCAACATAGACGTGGAGTAGCAATTATTGTCGATACAGAGGTCAACAAGTCAATAGAGAGCTTTGTCCCATTCTCAGAAGGAGTGATACTACTACAAATAAGGACATCACACGCAAAACTAAATCTGATCCAAGTATATGCGCCAATGACGGATGCAACAGAAGATGAAGTCGAAATATTCTACCAACAAATTGAAGATGCACTGAAAATGACAAAGAACAGGGAAATCACGGTAGTTATGGGCGATTTCAATGCAAAAGTCGGCAAAGGAAGAGCTGGAACAGTAATGGGAGACCAAGGACTAGGGGAACGTAACGATAGAGGCGATAGTCTAATACAATTCTGCCAAGAACTAAGTCTAATAATCACAAACACGTTCTTTAAATTACCAATGAGACGGTTATATACATGGCGCTCACCAGCAGATAAACCGGAAAAGTTGTAAGAAACCAAATCGACTATATAATGATTAAAGAGAGATATCGTAACACCATCAAATCAGTTAAAACATATACAGGAGCAGATGTCGCATCAGACCATAACCCACTAATCGCTAATGTCAAGCTTAAGTTTAAACGTATTAGAAAACCACAAACAACTCCAAAATTAGATGTTAGAAAACTGAAAGAAGATGATATAAAAATCAAACTTCAACAAAAAATATACGAAAACTTTGATAAATTAAATACTAACACTTACGAGATAAACGAACAATGGGAAACACTAAAAAACTGCCTCCTCGCTCCATGCAAAGAGATATTAAAAGAACCAACACGAAAGAAAGACAATTGGATGACCGACGAGATACTCGGCATGATGGAACAACGAAGACAAGCCAAGAACAAAGACAATCATAATTACAAAATCATTAACAATGAAATCAGAAAAACGATAAGAGAGACAAAACAAAGTTACTATGAGGAACTATTGCAGTAATTAGCCTTACTCGGGCATGCGGGGCTCTGCTCGAGTGGACTGCAATTCCCTAGCTACTCGTGGGAACAATATGGAAACCAATATTCCCGAACAACCCGTAGTAGAAAGCCCTGAAGGCACTACTACGCAGATAGCGAAGCCGACCAAAAAGAAGGCGGTCAGAGTCACCTCCCTAGAGGAGGTGGATCTAATGACAGACGAGGAGGTTATTGAGGCCAGGCTGGCCGGGGCCTCCAAGAAGAAAGTAAGGGATATGGTGGGAAAAGGCCAGGATTACATTGAAGCCAAGCGCTCGGTGATCAAGGCCAACTTCACCAAGGTGCTTGGACGACAGGAGGACAATCCCCCTAAGTCTAAAGAGGAGGCGGAGCAAAAGCTGGAAATGGCTATGCAAAAGCCTACAAAGAATCGACAAAGGTCGGACCACAGTACGCCGCCAGCGGAAGCCAAAAAGAGGCCGAGGAAGTCATAAATGACTTTTACACAAGCCCTCTGCTCGGCAAAGGTGGCTGTAGTATGTGATGGCTTCCCCGGAGTCAGGATGGAACCCACAAAGCTTTAGGCAGTGCAAACATCCATCTTAGAGGCTCTGGAGAGAACGCCAGAAGAAGGGCCGCAAATCAGGCTGCTAAAGAGCACGTTCAATCCCGGTTACCTGGTAATGACGTGCGCGGATAGTGCAAGCGCACAATGGCTCAGGGACACTACTCCCACTCTGAAGCCTTGGGAAGGTGCAAGCCTCCAGGCTAAGCACGAGAGTGAAGTCGAGAGGCCGTGTTCTTGCACTGTCTACATCCCAGACGAGGACGGAAAGAGGTTGGAAGCGGAAAGTGTGCTGACTCGATTAAGGGTCAGCAACCGAAAGCTCAACACCCTTTTATGGACCGTTTTGGGCAAAACACCTGCAGAAAAAGGGCAGGTATGGGTCTTCTCAATGGACAAAGAGTCCTTTGAGGAACTCAACAAACTTCAAATGTGTCCTTACTTTGGCATCGGAAGAACTAAATTCCGTGTCAAGGATGATGGGCACATTAAGAAGGTTGCAGAGGCCGGACCATCGGGGTTGCAAGGCGTAACTGCCGCAACCTCGGCAGTCAAGGCTAAGCAAAAAAGAAAAGAAGTCAAACCTTCAGAGGGGCAAAGCTCTAAAGCAGTGCCAAAGAAGGTTAACACTTCGACTAAACACAAGGCTCGCCCTAAGGATGATAAGTCGAGGGAAGGAGCTAAAGAAGGAATAATCCCGAAGGAAGTCCGTACCGACTTGCAGGGGAGTGCTACAAACCCGCCCAGAAGGCTAGAAGCCACTGAGCGTGTGGCCGCTCCCATGGAAGGGGTAGAGGACACGGAAAAACCCGAAAGTTAGCCTTCAGTTTAGAGGAAGGCAGAGTAAAGGTCCTGCAGGTCAACCTTCATCATGCTAAAGCTGCGTCGGCGGTTTGTGCAGAAGGTTTGACATGGAAGGCCTGGACTTGGCCCTACTGCAGGAACCATGGCTCCACGGAGGGAAGGTTGCAGGCTTGAAGCCGCAACAAGGTAAGTTATTATACGATGCGAAAGGAGAGACACCTCGAGCATGCATTGTATATGGTAACGAAGTAAACTGTACACTGATTCCGGATCTTTGCTCCGGAGACTTTGCTACAGGTATTTTAACCGCTTCCACCGAGGAAGGTAGTAAAAGATGGTTGGTCTGTTCTGCCTACTTCGCTGGAGAGAAGGTCTTCCGCCCAGGCATAGTAGAGGACGTTATAACCTACAGCCGAAGGGAGAACCTTCATCTAATACTGGGATGTGATGCCAATGCCCACCATCTGGCATGGGGGAGAACGAACATCAACAGTCGAGGTGAGTCTTTACTACAGTTCATTTTAAGCATGGGTTTAGAAATAGCCAATATAGGAAATAAACCTACCTTCGTTACGGCCACGCGCAAAGAAGTCTTAGATGTAACACTTTGCAGTGAAAAAACGTACGATACTATAAAGAATTGGCATGTGTCAGAGGAACCTTCATGTTCCGACCATAGGCACATTCGATTCGATTTAATTACTTCGACTCGAATGGTGGCAAGGTTCAGGAACCCGAGAGAGACGGATTGGGAAAGCTATAGAGGCTCACTCGAGAAGTCTCTTGAGGGAGGAATCGGCACTATAAAAGATACGGAAGATCTCGAACTGACAGTCGAAACGGTGAGGGGAGCTGTTCTGGCCGCTTACCAGGAGAATTGTCCAGAGAGAGAAAAGAAAGGAAAGAAAAACACACCCTGGTGGAATGAACACTTACAAAAGCTTAGGGCAGATGTAAGAAGGCTATTCAATAAAGCCAAATTCAACCAGGACTGGGCCATTTATAGAGAAAAACTGACGCAATATAATATGGAGATCCGAAAAGCCAAAAGAGACTCGTGGCGAAAGTTCTGCGAGGAAGTCAAACAGGCTCCCGCATGTTCCAGAATCCACAAGGTCCTGGCTAAGGATGGTATTGCGAATCAGGTCGGCCTCTTGAAGAAAGAGGACGAAACGTATGTAGAAACCCTGGAGGAAAGCTTAATAATGCTCACCAAGGTACATTTTCCCAGCTCATCCATTGACAATAATCCTTCGGTAGAGGTGGCTCATCCCAGAAGGCCTACTAAGGCGGACTGGAAATTAGCTACCGACATCACGAGACCGGAAAAAGTCAGGTGGGCCATCAATAAATTCCAGCCATACAAATCACTTGGAATGGACTGGATTTATCCAGTCTTGCTACAGAAGGGACAGGATGT